TTCAGAATAGGTGAAAGATGCATAATTGAGCCTTACGTTCCTTCACGTTTTGCCCGACAGTTCGGGTACGACCAGCTTTACGTTGGTAACCCTAATCCACAATTAGCTCACATCGGGAATCTGTATGAAGGAGCTCGTGCTTGGCATTTCTTTATTGCTCGAGGAACTCATGCGCAGTTTACTCTGCCTAATTTGCCACCTAATTGTTCCACCGTAGCGGATTTCCATAAACGAAATCCGAGAGCTCTATAAATCAAGAAGTGGTTCCGGCAGGACTCGACTCCCAGGGATAGAGGATTATCTGTCCTGCGAACGAGAGGCGTCCGGAATCGAAGAAATCTCAGGGGAATTACCCGCTGCTAAGCCTTCTGAAGAAGAAGAGGACACTAAAGAGGCTTTTGAGGGAGCACCTCTTTCTAGACCCCGTCCCCTGAGATCTTCAGGGAAGAAGGCTCTTACTGCTGAGGAGGTAGGCGAATACGATAGAAGAATTCGTAAACGAAAACCTGTCGCAGCTAAGAACTCTAAGAGAGCTAAGCTGATGGGGGACGCCATGAAGTCTGCACTTGCTTCGTCTCCCGAAAACAGCGGGGATACTATACCTCCAGCTGCTCCTCCTAGTCCTGAAATCCTGACAGGTGGACAGGGATTGATTGTCCCAGATTCAGTGCCAGACGTGCCCGAAAAGATATCATCTAAAGCTGTAAACACTCCCATTCGCACTGATTATGAGAATTGCTTCACTTATCCGCCGACTGCTCCACCCCCAGGCTCGGAAACTTTAAGGAAGCTCGTCGAGCAATTAGAGTACTGGATGCGGATGACCATCGATGTTGTTAGTCTCGGGGACGTGAGTTTCAAAGTCTTCGAACCCCATCTGCTGAAGTGTCTTGCCAAGATTAGGGACCAGGGGGATACATCGTGGACTGAACATTGTCGCGAGAGCATTACGGTGGCGTGGCGTGGTCGTCGGAGCTGTCGAGCGCACAGATCTGTCGTGGCAGATGTCGAGTTGGCCGACGAAGGGGAGGAGGGTGGCCGGAGCACGGGGCGGCGAACAAGGAGGGCTGGTCGGATTCGAGCTCGGTGCAGGCGGCGCTCGGGGGGTACTGCAGCGGCAGTTGAAGGCGATGGACAGGGGGTCGGCTCGAGGGGGTTGACGGGGCGGCGCTGGCCAAGGGAGGAGGCGGTAGAGGCGCAGGCGGCGGTCTGGGCGTGGTTTCGGGTAGAGAGAGGACGAGAGGGAGAGAGCGGGTGGCAGCGCAGGGGTCGGAGGAGACGGGGGCGGCGACGGGGGCGGTTCGAGCTCGGGTGCGGGGCGTCGGAGAAGGTCGCGTTCGGTGATGGAGGCGGCCAGAGGCGGAGGGGGCGCTCGGGTGGGTGACCGCGGGGCTGCTGAGGCGGCGAACGGCGGTTGGAGGCGGAGGTCGGGTGGCGAAGGAGGATGGGTTCGGTGCTTGAGGAAGAAGAAGAAGAGGGGGTTTCTTTGGGTGAACTGATGGAGAGAGAGAGAGGGGGGCACGTGAGAGAGAGAGAGAAAATATTTGATTAGTTGGTTTTTGAAATTTGAAAATGAGAGAAAATGGAAGGAGAGATAAATGCACGTGATTAAGAAGAGAAATGGTATAAAATAAACATGATTAAGGGGGTGATTGGGAAGTGATTAAGGCTGATTGGGAAAAGAATTTGGAAGGAATTCAAATGGGAGGAAATTAAGGGAGAGAATATTATGGGAATATTTTGCATGATTTTTCAAAATAAACATTATATTAATAATTAGACATAATAATATTAATAAATAATTAACAACTAAATATTTATATTTTTACATATGTACTAATATACTAAGCTCAGGTTTACATTAATAATAACAAGGTCACTAATAATATTAGCTACCAAAAGATTATATATAAAAATTACTAAACCGTAAATTAATATTTAGCATAATTAAAAATAGAAGACTATATATTTTATTATTTATTTATTTTGAAAACTCAGAGAATTCCAGAATTTAGGAAAAGTATTAATAAAATATAATATAATATTTTAAATACTAGAAAAATTTATTTAAAATACGTATTAAAATTTACGGTTGTTACAGATTCTCTACGAAAACCCCTTCAACTATTTTAATTTGAGAAATCCCCTCGGATTTTAGCTTAATATAGATAATCCCCCTTAAGTTTAAAAATTTAAGAAATCACCATAAACTCTTCTCACCCTACGCCTTGAAAAGCTAACATTGTTACCCTAATAACCATATAAGTCTACATTTCTTTCACTTAACCTGGAATATTTTTTAGTAAAAAAACTCCAAGCATCGGATATTTACGATTTTTAGATTTTTAGAGGTTTTTCATAATTATTGGAATTCTCGAGAGGTTGAAATTTAAGATTTTTGGTGATTTTTTTCTAATTATAGATTTTTTGGGGGTTAATTGTACTTTTTATTTTTTTTGGATTTTGTAATAATTTTCTCAATGGTTCTTTGCAATTTTCTAATTTAAAGGGTTTGTTTATGATTTTTCAGATTTTTTAGGGGGACTATTTACAACTTAAAATTTTTTAGGACGCTATTTGTCATATTTAAATATTATTGATTTTTTGTTATTTTCATATTTTCATGTGTTTTTCTAAAAAATTTGAATTTTTAGGGGTTCGTTTTTTAATTTTCAAAATTTAAAGAAAGTTATTTATACTTTTTAGATTTTGTATAGGTTGTTTATAACTTATGATTTTTCAATGATCATTTATAATTTTACAATGATAAGAGGCTTTTCACATTTTAGATTTTCTAATTTTTTTTAATTTCAAGAAACCCTCAAAATTAACATAAAGGTAAATCTCACTAAACCCCTAATAATTTTACTATTTGGAACTAAATCTCAAATATTTCTAAAACTCTGACTAAATGCCCAATAAATTTTGCTAGAAAATCCTCAAAATTAACATCATTGATTCATGTGTAGTTAAAATGATCAAAGTACACCCCAATAACCCAATAAGTTTATGTTTTTTTAGTTAAGCCCCAACATTTTTAAGCCAAAAACCCAAAATAACGGTCATTTATAATTTTCAGAACTTTTCAGAGGTTTGTTTGTATTTATTGGATTTTTTAAGAGGTTGATTGTAATTTTTATATTTTAGAGGGGTTTGTGTCTAATGTATGATTTTCTGGAGTGTTGTTTATACTTTTTATAATTTTTTAGGTTTTTGTAATCTTTTCAGGGTTTCTATGTAGTTTTCTAACTTAATGGGTCAATTTATTATTTTAAAGATGTTTAGGGGGATGTTTGTAATTAAAAATTCTTAGGATGTTATTTGTAATATTTCACGTTTTATGGTATTTTTTATAATATTCATATTTTTGTATGTTTATTTAAAATTTTGGATTTTTAGGATTGTTTATAATTTTTAATTTTAAAATGGGTTAGCTTTTTTTGGATTTTTAAGAAGGTCTGCGTAATTTATGATTTTTTTACGTGTCATTCAAAATTTTAGAACTTTAATAGTATTTTTTTCAATTTTAAATTTTTCACGGGGTTTTTTACAATTTCAGTTGTTCAGGGGCCTATATGTTTTTTTTAGCTTTCAAAATTTTCTAAGTATTATTTGAAATTTTAGAATTTTTAGTAGCTATTGGTAATTTTTCCTTTTTTTTGGTTGTTTATCAAGTTATGGGTTCACTTGCAAATAAGATCGATTTCAGTGGTATATATTATCCTTGAGGGTTAAATTTAGCCAATGTGACATTTTAGGGTAAAGCTATTTTGGAACTTAAGTGTAAAAATTCAAAAAAAAATTAGTTTTTTTTCTGAAATTATCTAATTTACTAAGGATTTAATGAGAATTGCATATATTTTGGGAGTTTAATGCTCAATTTAATGTTCTGAGAGTTTCATTGAAATTTACTTTTTAAAATAATTAAAGAGGGACAATGACAAAATTTTAGATTTTTTAATTGTGGATAGTTAGAGCTTGTTTAGAATTAACAAAATTTTGATTATCAGAATTTTCTACTTTTTTATGAATAGTAATTTCTAATAATGGATATGAATAGTTTTAATCTAATGAGAATTTATTGAAAGATTGAATTAGTTGGATACATTTCATCTTTTAATAGGATAGAAAATTAGTTTCACTATTTGATCTCTTTTAATATCAAAAGATTTTACTTTTAAATTATATGAATATATTAGGATAAAATTAGAATGTAATATCCAAAAGATTAAGGGTGAAATTGACCATAGAATTTTTTTTTCAAACTCGCTCTTTGATAAGGAGTATGATATGATGTAATTATTATTTTTTGGGGAGAAATTGATGGATTATCACTGATGCCCCTAGTTAGCTAAATTAAGCAAAATAAAAATAAAAATAAATAAAATGGTTGTTACGTATGAAAAACCATATTCCCAACCATAAAAAATACGGTTTACTGAGATTAGCTATGAAATTATGTTTACATATAGCTATTCAAAATACCATTAGATCAATGTGTTATAAACTAGAGGTTAGATTGTAGCTCAATGAACATAATAGTTTTTTCTTTAAATTAAGACAGTCAATATAAGAATCCAGCAAAAAACTTATTAGCCTATAATAATTCTAATTAGATTTATATCTGTCCCTGGAATAGGATTTGAATGGATAAAATCGAGAGTCAGGTGTTTGGCAATCACCTAAAAACTGGGTTCAATCTCGATCCAGTTTTTTTCTAAAACAGTTTATAGTTGGACTAAGGGGGTGCCGGTCCAATACTAAACTAGTTTTATGGCCTATTTTTTGACCTAAGAACCATGTTTTTGCCAATAATAAAATAGCTAAGTTCAGTACTGATCCAATTTTAAAGATTTGTCGAACGCATCCTAATTATGATTTGTAATTGGACCGGCTCTGGGCTCTGTGGGCTTTAGGACCCGACTTGACCGGGCCGTACGGAAGTGAGCGGGGTTTAGGCCCGCAGAAAATTAAAACAGCACGGACGAAGAAAGAAAAAAACCCCTCTTCCTTTATTCAAGGCCGCCAGAGAATCTCTCTCTCTCTCTCTCTCAGCAGCAGATACTGATGGAGTCTCCGACGTCGACCTCTCAAAATCTACTCTCTCGACCTCGACCTCAGTTGATGGTTCATAGCCGCCGTCGCTTTTCGAATCCACGGAGTTCCCATTATTTTTCTTCAAAATACAAGAAGAATCTCTCCATCCGCGCCTCCTCCTCCTCTTCTTCTGGAGATTCAAGTAAGAAACCCCCATCTACTAGAAAAATTTGTATAAAAATTGATTCATTTTCTTCCAATCGATGCAGCTGTCACTCTTCTCGATTACGGTGCTGGAAACGTTCGAAGTGTGAGGAATGCCATTAGATACCTCGGCTTCGATATCAAAGAAGTAACCTCTCCCCCTTCCCTCTTTTATTTAAGAACCAAGTATTACTCAACTCTTTGTGAATTCCCTGGTCGCATTTGGGGACAAAATAGGACAAAAATGGACATCGAAAAATCACGTCCAACGTTATGTTCTACGCGAATGGACATGAGAACATCATCTTTCTACTAGAATAAGGGATCAAAATGTTCACAAGTTGTTTTATGTGCTGCTAAAGAACAAGATGTGCCGTGTTTACTTTCTAGCCTAATTAAAAGAAACCTACCATGGAGATTCTCCGTCTTCTCATTAAAATCGCATAAAGTTTGAAACTGGAAGATACATGATATTTTTAATTTACCGCTATTTATAACATTGCAATTACCGTTCCTTTCTCTCTGAAGTTTCATATAAGATAAAACATGTAAGATACATGATATTTTTAATTTTATGGTCAATTCTATCCAAAAATTATCTCATGGAAATGATATATTCACTACTGACAAGATATCAGTGGTTAGTTTAGTGAATTTCCGAGGAAGTTTATGATAGCTTTGTGCAATTTAGAAAGTTAATTCTAGTATTACAAGAAAATGGGAAAAGTTCATGGTAGTCTTTTTATTGATTCAGCATACCATTTTGTTTTTAATCTACAAACTGTGGTGGTTCAGTTATTCGTGTTCTTCTCGTGGAATTTATCTGATGTCACAAATAACAATTAATCACAGGCCGTTTGTATAAGATTTTGCTTGCGGCAATTCGTGACTCTGCATGTTTTTATTTTTTATTTTTCTCTGATTCGCATCCCGGCTTTGACATGGCTTCTCTAATCAGAAAAGAGAGTCAAGAAAGGCTTATCATTGATGGATCTTTTACCTTTGATACTCTCATCACCTTCATCCTTTGCGGTCCATTGTGCTTAATCCGCACTAATAATATGACATTGTCAGTTTTTTCTTTTGCTAACTTAACTGGGAATTTCCATTTCATTACTCTCCTCATTGTCTACTTTCTATTGGAACTCCTTGCTTCCTTACGTACCATTCATCATAAAAGTAGAAAACTATTGAGAAGTAGACTTGGGCCGCATTAATGTTTACCTTATGATTGAAAAATGTCCTCTCTTATTGATATTCAATTAAAACTATCTATAAAGTTATTTGTAGACAAGTTAATAAATACACATGTTCTTTTCCTTATTAGGTGCAAAGACCAGATGACATTCTTGCTGCAAGCCGCCTTGTGTTTCCTGGGGTTGGAGCCTTTGGATCAGCTATGGATGTGTTAAATCAGAACGGGTAAGAGTCCTTTTTAATTTACTTTTATTTATTACTCTAAAAAAATATTCTTTTTTTTTATAATTGAATCTGTAGAACTTCCAATATTCTTCCTGGAAAAATTTCTAGGGTTTGTGCTATTAAATTGACATCTAGACTAGCATTCTCAAGAATGCTATTAGTTAAAGAATGTTGGTATCATTTATTTCTGTTCTTTACTCAGATGACTCATCAAACAGAATGGGTAAAGTTATGTAATAAGAAAAAATACTCTTGTTCATGGACAATGTTTGCAGTGTTAATTACGTCTTCAAAATCCTTCTAAGGATGTACGCTTCTCCCTGAAAAAGAAAGTAGATCTCTCGTAATCTTTCTTAAACACATAGAATAACCAGTTTACTTTCTCACAGATTGGCTGAAGCACTGTGTACGTACTTAGAGAAGGATCGTCCCTTTTTGGGGATCTGTCTTGGACTCCAGTTGCTTTTTGAGTCCAGTGAAGAGAATGGTCCAGGTGATTACCGTTCTTGTATTGCTTTCTAACAGACATTCTTTGTGTTCTTTCATGTTAAATGCATCATTAAGGCCAGAGAAATCAGACTTAAGTGCAATTATATCAAATCTATAGTTCCAAGGTAATTCAGGTGTGTGACATTATTCAAATATATACATATTTTATATAACATATTTTCTTATTAAATAATTTAACATGTTTTGTGAAGTGAGAACTTACTTGATTTGACTGACATAGCAAATAATGTGTAATCTATTTCTTCTCACAGTTTAATGGCATGTAGCCTACTACTCAGAGCAGCGTATTTGTAGGTCAAAGTTAAAAAAATCATACTTCTTTATTTAGCTTGAATTATGAAATGAGTTTACAGATCTTTAGAGCAAAACACATAGAGTTGCAGGACTGCCTCCTCTGCTATGGACCTACGGTCAGAAAAGATTGTGCTATTATGTCGACGCCCTTATTGTTTGTTACATTGTAATCTTGGAGAGATTATGAGAACTTGCTAACTTTCGCATGACTACTTATACAAGTCCTTTCTAATTCTAATTGGTTTTATACAAATTGAGCTACAGTGCACAATATATTAGGTTGTGGTAGAACATGTTTGTTTTATGATAACTTCTCAATTTTCTTTTTTGCTGTTTGTTTTCCCCAGCCCCTTTGGGGTTAGTATCGTCATGGTGTTGAGTTACACTATCACATAACAATTAGGACTTCTATTCAACTTACCAAAGTGGATTCTGCTTCTTAATACTACAAATTATGTTTATTAAACTATATGCAACTTCTCATGCAATCTGTTAAAATTCCTGGAATTTGTTATTAACTGATGCGTTTTTGTTGTATGTTTTCTTGATTTAGCTAACAGTTGCCCTTTATTCCTCGTAGTCAAAGGTCTTGGTTTGATACCTGGCACTGTTGGCCGTTTTGACTCATCAGAGGGTCTCAGGGTACCTCATATTGGTTGGAATGCACTGCAAGTTACTAAAGGATCAGGAATATTGGATGATATTGGAGCTCGCCATGTCTATTTCGTCCATTCATACCGTGCAATGCCCGTATGCTCTTTATTTTGTCACTGCAGAGCTTGATTTTTAAACATTAAATCATTTTATTGTAATGCTATTTTATTTATGGAACCATTTGAATGTTTTGATGTAGTCAGATGCTAATAAGGACTGGATATCATCAACATGCAATTATGGTGACACTTTTATTTCTTCTATCAATAGGGGAAATATAAATGCAGTTCAATTTCACCCTGAAAAGAGTGGAGGTAAACAATAATTATCTGTATTTTCTATTTTTTAATATTTCATCTAAATAAGTTTGGAATCTATTCATGTCCTCAATACTTGGCAACAACATCAATATAGTGTTTCTTTATATATTTGTTAACATTATTTCTGCTGTTTTTATGAGTCACTAGTCGCAATCAAATGCTAACCACAGATAAGTGCTGTAATATACTGGCAGTGGTAATGATTTACAATATTGTTAAATTTGTTACTATCTTTGGCTAGAATTTATTTTTTGTAGCATCAAGCTTTGATCTCAACATTCTTTATCAAGTTGACCCTTAACTCCATCACCAGATGTGGACTAATTGGAAATACTGAGAAGTTGATTTGTTCCAATGATTATCGACATCAATGAAGTGTAGATTGATAGGACGCCTATGTTTCAACTGCATGTTGCTTTTTCTTAATCTCATGGACTTTGTCTACTGCAATTTAGTCACCACTCAATGTTTTTATTAGAAAAAAAATGTTATAAAGCCTTGGTTATGTCGTTATAAAAGCTATCTGTCTTGGGAACAATTAAGCAACGTAGATATGTTTCTTAAAATCCAATAGAATTTCTTTTGGAAGAATGAACTGGTCCTCTTTAGTTCAATTGAGATTTCTAACCATTTCTTAAGTTAAGCCTACCCTCGTGTTTCTTGTGCTTATATATATTTAGTAAGCACAAATATTTTATGATTTCTTACAATCATCATATTGTCGTTGAAGGATAATGAGACAGGTACCTTGGGGTATCATGTTATAGGAATAAACTCTTTAGTTGAAGACCTTAATAAGACAGGTAACTGGTTTTGAAAGGCGAACCATACACTTATTTGCACCTCTTTCCAGATGTCGGCCTCTCAATATTGGAAAAGTTTCTTAATCCATCTCAATTTTCAAGGAAAAAGGTAAATCTTGGTGTTTCAACATGATTATGTGTATTCTTCTATCTTTCTTTGTTGGCGCTTAAACTACATGCTCAATTTCTCATGCCGAACAGAAACCTACAAGTGGGAAGGCATCAAAACTTGCAAAGAGAGTATGTTTTTTTGCCTTTTTGGTCGAGAACATATCCAGGACACTGTTTTTTTTCATTATATATGCAAGTATCTTATGTAACCAGTTTTGCTTTCTGCTTACTGCCACTTGATTGTCCAGGTAATAGCATGCCTTGATGTGAGGACAAACGATAGAGGGGATCTTGTAGTAACCAAAGGGGATCAGTATGATGTCCGCGAGCATTCAAATGATCATGAGGTAACAAATAACATCAATATCTTATTCACTCATAATGACGTGATTGGTTTCTTGTGTAAATGATGGAGTCTGATTTGCAACTACTATTATGAGGAACCCTACAAGGAACAATATTGTTTTCGTTAACTATCTTTTTTCCTTTTCCTGCTACTTTTAACTTATCCTTTTTCTCTTTGTCAACAGGTTAGAAACCTTGGCAAGCCGGTGGACCTTGCGGGTCAATATTATAAAGATGGGGCTGATGAAGTATATTTTTCACATTCTGATGTTCTGTTCATTTAGTGGGTGCTATGTTTATACATATAACTTGTGAAAATTTAAGTATTTGAATTGCATTTCAGGTTAGTTTTCTGAACATAACTGGCTTCCGTGACTTTCCTTTGGGAGATCTACCAATGCTACAGGTTTAATGTAGATAATACTATTCATCCTCTTGTTAATTTTTCCCAATATGATCTAAACTGTCGATACTTTGTATCAAGAAGCTAAGTTTAATTTCCATCTGATTCTTTTCTAAACTTAGACCTCTGCGAATAATATGACATACAGATTCTGCGCTACACATCTGAACATGTTTTTGTCCCACTAACAGTTGGAGGCGGTATAAGAGACTTTACAGATGGGAATGGGAGGTTGGTATAACATTTTTATGAGAACAGTTGTGCATTTAAGACTTGAATGACCTTTTATTAGAATCTGTTTTTCAACGACTCACTTCTGGATTCATTAGTAGATATTTTTTTTCACTGCTTACTTAAATGGCTCATGTTTTCCAATTTAATGTTTAATGAAAATTATATGCTTCTGCTACTGTAAGTTGATTGAAACCTGTATCTGCATTTTTTATTCTGTTGACTTTTCCCTAGATGTTGTGAAAGATCTTTTTTCAAAAAAATTTAATTAGGTAAAAATATTGATATTCCTAGTATCATATTTAGTGTAAGTCGTTTATCAGTTTGGTAATTAAGGAGGATGCTATTCGTACAATCAAAGCATAACTATGACAGTGGAAAAAGAAAAATCCCTTAACACATATTGTGAATTATCTGGCTAGAAGCATTTTCTAGTTAACAAAAGGAGACTACATTTTCTGAGAAACTGAGACTTAGGTTTAGTATATTTAGATAAGATCAGATCTTTCCTTATAATATCCATGATCTTTGATGCCTCATACTTATATTACAATAATGCTCTTGTGAACTCACCGTCATTCTGCAGCTTTTTTAAGATATATTCTTTTAGGCACCGTTTGGCAAAGGGTTAAGTGAGGGGTTATGGAGACTTAACCCCTTCTTAACCCACCAAAAAAAAATCTATACAAGAGTTAAAGTGAGTTAACCCTCCATAATTTGCTAAATATAAAAAATATAGAAGGGTTAAGCTAACCCTTCTAGAAGGATTAAAATGAGTTAACCCCTCAAAATGAGGGGTTTACTAATACTCCTATTTAGAATGATTAAGAGTTAACCTTTCTAATTATAAAGAAAATAGTCAAAATTATTGTTATTCCCAAACACTAAAACTGATCACAAGGGCTAAAATAAAACTTATTTAACAGATTAATAATTTAGTCATTCAGATTATCGAATGGGCTAAGTACATTAATCATTCTCTTTAACCCCTCTTCCTTAACCCTTTGCCAAACGGGACCTTATTTATGCTAATGGAATGCTCTATGCTGATTTTTCCCTCGTTTTGTCCACTAAGTAGCAATGCAGCAACAATGGACTGGTTAAATGTAGTCTTTGCTCAAAATCCTTACCTAATTTTGTGGACCATTCTATATACAACCTCTTGTAGAAAACTGAGGTCGATTTTTAAGCTACAGGTGGTAATCTCTTGGAGCTTGACACAGTTTATGCGTCTTCATAAATAGCTGAGGTGCAGTGCACCCCACTTCCATTTATAAAAAGACAACCATTGTCAAGGATTTTCTTCAATTGCAGTAATTTGCTATAAAAGAATCTCCATCCAAAGTCAACGATTTTTGTATATCGCTATGAAATCCTTTTCAATTTATCTTTATTACATACACTCTTTTCTTAAATGTCATTGCTCTAATATTTCCATAGGTACTACTCGAGTTTGGAAGTGGCATCAGAATACTTCAGGTCTGGTGCAGATAAGGTTTCAATTGGAAGTGATGCAGTTTTTGCTGCAGAAGAATATTTGAAAACTGGGGTATGCGATCAATTTTTAAACTTAAGCCAGTTGTGTAACCATAATTCCCTTTCCCCCCTTGTAATATTCCCTTCTTTTCAGGTAAAGAGCGGAACTAGCAGCATAGAACAAATCTCTAGACGCTATGGAAATCAGGTCGTATAGATCACTTAGCTGATATATTACTGTCTATCCCTCCTTTCAGGATTTGGGAAAACTCTCTCTTCATATTGCATATGTGGAGATTAGTGATAAATACTTTAAAACAAAATCTTCATTTGTGAAGTCTTTATTCCTTAACCTACATTTGAAGGTGGAAACACATCTAAATATTAATTGTTCTTCCTTCACTCTCAGGCCGTGGTTGTAAGTATTGATCCTCGCAGAGTGTATATTCGGAGTCCTGATGAGGTGAAATTCAAGTCTGTAAAACTAACTAAACCAGGTACAATCTCTTAGTAGTAGAAGCTAATCTGTTATCCTTCTTGTTGTATTTTTTCTGGATTTGATTCTTCTCTGAGATTGACATCTTACTTATGTGCATTCAGGTCCACTAGGAGAAGAATATGCATGGTACCAGTGTACGGTATGGCTTCTAGAACAGTGTATATACTTCATTGCATATTGAGCTAGATTTTTCTAGTAATCTCATTTATCCATGGGCTATGTAAATGGATTTACATGTTGATAGCTGTACAGCCACATTAGCAATTATGTTTGTTTGTGGTGGTAATTTGGATTCTAAAGATTATCGAAGCCCATCAACCATTCAGCCATATGCATTCTGAATTGTTATTTTCGATACCACTGACGGATTCATTTCATTTGATCTGCGTTTTACTTCCTAGTAAAGAAGAAAGAGCATAGGGAAAAGAGGTAGAACAAGAAATGGAGTTTTTACCTTAGTTTTTTATTTTTATTTTTATTTTTATTTTTCACTACCTTCAGGCTTGACAAAAGTTTTCGATAATCAATAATGAAAAACAATTACTCATTAATCATTCTTTTCTCTCACTTGCTTTTACTTAGAATCAAACACAAGGTAACATTGTGCTTATATCTCAAATAAACTCCTAGGGTTTTCTTAATTTTCCTTTTAAATGATATGGTTGGGAAAGTTAGGCCATTTAAATAACTTAATGTCTAGTGATGATAATCTAAGAGATCATTTCCAGCTTACTTTGCAGTGGGTTGTTGGTTGACCGAAATCTATTTGGTTGTGGCATGAATAATTGCAAGCTTCCTACCCAATAACCGACATATGGGATTCAGTTAGTAGCCTCTTCTCGTCCAAGTTCCCTCGGTCTTGAATTCAGCATTAATAACTCATAGGAGTTATCAAAAAAGCCTGTTCACATCTATAATGGCACCTCTCATTGTGGAGTTAATGGCTATAAGCAACTGCATTATCATGGGGGAAGACTTAAATGCTGATGCTGATGCTGATGATCTTGCTACCTTTCTCGTTTATAAATTATTGGTTCCCCATCACTTTATGTGTTTGTTTAAGGACATTACTTATGACGATATGTGTTTGTTTAAGGACACTATTTATGACGATCTTATGATAAGTAGCCTTCAAACTGTATTTTGGGCCTCTAACTTGTGAGTATGAAGTATTTATTATGTGTTGAATAACTACAAGCAAGGAGATGAAAAGCACCTTTATTAAAGATACAGTGTTTATTGGAATATTAATTCTCTAATTCTGGATTTGTCATGCTGTCTATACTCTATAGTAGTTATGGTAGTAGTAGTACCCTTAAAATAAGGTTGAATAGAAGTCTTTCAAGGGAGACCACCTTTTGTTTCTCGTGGCAGGGCTTCTTAGTGATGTTATAAAAGCGTTCATATTTTCACCTTGACAGTTAGGCCTGACAAGCTAGTTGATTGTTTGATATGTTTCCAGAGATGTATTAATACCTAAAAGGGTGAAACTGACACATTAACTGTGCTGTCCAGTACACACATAGATTGAAGCATTCAGCTCTATTTAATCATGAATTTTCTAAATATTACCTTAATATTTCAAACTTTAAATTTCTTAATTGTTTGTTTCAAGCCTACTTAAAAATGTTCTTCCAATTGGGTGTATCATTGAATCTTGGCAAGGTCTTCCTTGCGACTGCTAAATGTCTCCACCTGGCATACTTGAGAGGTATCAGGCATATAAACTTCAGCATTGCAATTGTTAGACTTGATGCTTGAGTGGAACCCATACTTTATTCAAGGCATATGTAATATGCTAAGCCATAAAGCTGATTTTTTATAGGACAATTTTGCATGCATAAGAGCTTTATTGTAATCTGAGTATCTGTTTGTTGTTATGCCCAACAGGTAAGTGGTGGACGTGAGGGTCGACCAATTGGAGCTTATGAGCTTGCAAAAGCTGTTGAAGATCTTGGAGCAGGGGAAATATTACTCAATTCTATTGACTGTGATGGTAGGGCAATTCTTGTGTTGCAGCAGCTATCGTCTATAGCCTCTATACTTGCTAAATAACTGAGCGTGTACTAGTAAGCAGAGGAGTCTGCTTATATCGGCAATATCCTCTTCTGATTTTCTTTGACTCTGCTCCTCATGATGCATATTATTTGTGATCCTAAGCTTGTGCAGTCCTTTGTTCATCGTCTTAGATCAGTTTTAAAGTTCAAGGATCTATAAATTGTTTTTGTTGTTTGAGATAAGCTTACAAGCAGTTATTGCTTTTGCAGGTCAAGGGCAGGGATTTGATGTAGACTTGATTAAACTGGTATCTGATGCTGTCAGTATACCTGTAATTGCAAGCAGTGGTGCAGGATCCGTAGAACATTTCTCTGAGGTCTTTCAGAAAACAAGTGCTTCAGCTGCGCTTGCTGCTGGCATTTTCCATCGCAAGGAGGTATATGTAATGATACATTTAAGATACATTTAAGATACGAGATTTTGTGACAGAAGATATATGGGTTTTTGAGATGTAAAATATGTCATCAGTACCCTAGATTACAACTACCTCCTGCAATCATTTATTATTTTTACTGTTCCATGGATTACACAACTACTTAAATTTTGTTATTTCATAAATTCATTATATTCTACAAACTTCTCTTGTTACTTTTTCCTTTAGTTGCGCATATTCCCATGTTTCTGTTCATTACATCTATTAAACTTGTTCCCATTAGAGCAGACAAAATGCTATACAATCGTACATGTCTATTTTGTATGTAAGCTTAGGGATTGTAACAAACCTTTTTGGTTTATTCAGTAACAAATATAAAAATATGTCATGTCATAATTGATTCTTATAAATCTAAAGAAAATTTTGTAGTAAATAGAGGTCCTGGTTTAATTATATCATAAAAAATCATTATTCTCTTAGAACATATCTGCTGACATGGATTATTGGGTATACCCGATAGTTTTCATTTTCTATCCTGTCAAGATATCTGATTCAACAGTTTTGCAAACTATATTGCTCTTGTGAATTATGATAATACCCTGATGTGTTCGTCCATCTGGTTCAATAAGTTGATCTGTGCATATCTCTGCCTCTTCCTCAGTCGCGCCATTCTGTATCTCCTCTTGAGGTCCATTTTATTTACTGTTCTAGTTTTCGTTTGGAGTTTAGGGCCTGTTTGGTTATTTCCCAAAAAACCGAAAAATGGAAATGAAAAGCAAGAAATCTCAAAAAGTACAATTTCACATATTTCCATCCCTAAAACTCACCCACAACATCTAATAAAATATTATTTTTATCCAACAACTCATCCACCACATCTAATAAAATATTATTTTCATCCAACAACTCATCCATCACATCCACCACATCTAATAAAATATTATTTTCATCAACAACATCACTCAACTCATCTCATCTCATATTTAAAAATCACCCACATCATCCAATAAGATTGTGACAACTCATCTCATCTCATTAACATTTCATTTCTTTGTTTTCATCCCAAAAAGTTGTGAAAACTATTTCCTTAAGTGTGGGTCACATCACCCAATAATACAATGACAACTCATCTCATCTCATCTATTTTCTTATTTTTAAGAAATAACGAAACAAACTTTTTTAAGAAATTGGTTTCTTATAATTCATTTCCTTATTTTTTTCGCCAACCAAACAACATCAAAACAAGTTTTCTTAAAAAATCACTCACATCATCCTATAATAAGGTGACAACTCATCTCCATTTCTTTGATTTCTTCTTTTTTTTAGCAAACCAAACACTCCCAAAATAATTCTTTGATTTAATAGTTTTCTATTTCTTTGATTTCCCCTTTTTTTGGGGCAAACAAACAGGCCTTAGGACATTTAAGAAGCATTGTGGCACTGATATTTTTAGATTTCCATTTCTGACCGTTTGCGAAGAATTTCTTATATGTTCCTATCTGGTGTGCTCTTGCCTGCGACACCACCTTCTGTAAAGTCTCGAAAGATGACTATGGATTCTGAATGATGGTATAGGTTTTCCACTTGGTTGTTTGTGCGAACACATATGCTATTTGTTTGATGAGCTGTTGTTGCATGTTGTCACCTTAGATCTGACATGGTTAATAAGTCAATAACTTGATTTTCTGATCTTTATTTGAGCTAGCTCTTATGATATATCCATGACACCTTAGATCTGACATGGTTAATAAGTCAACAACTTGATTTTCTGATCTTTATTTGAGCTAGCTCTTATGATATATCCATGACACCTCAGCAGGACCAAGAATCCAGTTGAGCTTGACTCCTTAATGTGATTGCAGGTTCCCATCTTATCTGTGAAGGAGCACCTGCATAGCGAGGGCATAGAGGTCAGATTGTGATGGTTGTGACACCAGCATCATCGAGCAATCCCCAAGCAATAACTTGATGAGGAATGTTCCCTATCCTGACCATAAATAATGGCACTCCTCCACGGCAATTTGCATTGCGGTTTAGACTGCGGCAATGAATTTGTCAGCCAAATACATTTAAGCATCATCTGGCCCCTGATGGTAACGTCTTCTGTTGTCAAGATATGCGTCCTTTGTGTTACTTCATAATTTATGTCCCTGCATTAGGTTCTGCTTGGGTAATCAAAGACGGAAACTAGCAAAATTGTCCAACTTTGAGCAGAGTTAAATTTTTTTTTTTTTTCTGAATTAGCTTCTCCTGAATTGTATGACTTGTAGCTGTTGACAGCATCTTTTTGTATTGATTGACACCTGTTTTATTTAACTTGCTCGCCTAGTATTTAATTTTTAATCATGTCATCAAGCGGAAATAGAAAAAAAGCAAGAAAGAACGAAAAAAGAAAAAAGAAAATGTTGTGAAAAGAG